AACTTGAAGCGTTTTGAACTCAAAAATAGCGAACAATTTTAAGATGATCTGCAGAGTCAACCGTTTATAAATTTTTATCTAAATAAGGATTTTCACCGTCCAAATATTGCGTACAGATAAAAAAATTTAGACTGTACATCATTCAATATATGATCATAAATATTAAACTGTGTCGCCACAACCACAAAGGGTAAACAATTATGTATTTTTTCCGGGTATAGACGAAACTGTAATAGAAACTGAAGAGCATGAAGATAATAAGCGTGAAACACTTTTGCGTTATCAGCGTTATCAGTGAAATGAGAAGTGTCAGTTTATATTTTAAAGTATCGAACAAGTGAAATGCCAGTAGATATTAGTCTATTTTATTTATCTTGTTGGACGGTGATAAAAATTCCTTGCGTGTTTTAGTTCCTGTTAACATACATATTTAATTTTTTATTTATTTTTCATTATAAATTAATGTAGGTATAATTATTTATAAGCTACCATAGTATATATCTACACGACTCAATGACTGTACATTTTTGAGTTACACTCGTTCAAGTCAAATTTACTTGAAGAAACATAATATTTTATTCTGTGTAAAAATACCAATGCAATGAATTTCTACGCTAATGATCTGAGATCCTGTTCTTTATTTTAAAAATATATTGACGTTTTAAAGTTTTTTCCACCGCTAAAAGCTACCACTTAAGAAAAACAATTGTGTGAGTGTTAATATTTACTCTATATGTCATCGATGCTGCATGATAAAATATACATGATAATTTTCTTTAGATAACTGAATTTCTTCGAGTAACCGTTTTCCAAAATTGAATCACATTTATCGTGCAAAAAACGACATCAAATATTGCAAGTGACATTTAAATCGGTGCAATCGTTCAGATATCTTTGATAAAGTATTTGAAGCAACAAATTTCTTAACTTTTTGAAATATTACGCTATAAATACTGTAGATAATTTCGATTTTATCAGATATTTTTCTCAGAAGTAGATCTCGCTTGTGAAACAAATTATTGTTTTGAATTGGGTAACTAATTTTGTTTAATTCACTTCCCTAGCGGATCGGTTTATGCTCAGTATACACCAAGTATACATAGTGTATACGTGTCGAATTCATCTTAAGTATACGCCGCGTATACACCGAAAATTTTTTTAAAGTCCCCGAGTTAGAAATTTTTCTAAGTGTTGAATCAAAAAATTTTTTTTAATTTATCAATAACAATGGGCTACAAACTGCCAGAAACTGATAAATTTATTGACATTAAGACACCATGTTCCAGTGTATGACTTATTCCCTGTTTATACCTTAAAAAAATTTCAAAGTCCCAGGGTTTGAAATTTTTACTTACTTTTAGAAAAATATTTGAGGTTTAATAGTAGCCAATATTTTATAACATATAATTATACTATTTTTATAATTAATATCACATATTAGCAATATAAAATCTTATAAATGTACACTGTCTCACTTAGTCGGGACAAGCCGAAAAACATATGTCCATATTACACGATATACCGAGAAAAGTGTCTCATAAACCGGGGCATTCACGTAAATAAGTGTAGGTATTGTGAGACACTCATATTTAAAATATTGTAATAAAAAAAAACGCATAAATGTGTATTACTAGAAATAAAGTCTATTACTCATCAGCTTTCAATTGATATACAATTTAATATAAAAGTAGAAGACACAATGAAATTACACTAATATAAAAAACTAGGTAGCCGTTGTCGTTTTACTATTCTCGGTCGTGGCTTTGAGCACAGATAACAAACCTCGCACTTTAATAAATATTTTTAAAAAACAGTATGGAATCAATTAACAACCAAAGTCGAAAATTGCTTTTGGAATAGATGAAATAATATATTTATTATACTTTTGGTATGCTAGCGGTGTGTTTTTTTTATAAAATAGTATTTTTATGTAGTGTATCATAAATGGGGACATCGTCTCATAATAGGGACTTTTACCTTAATGGACTTAAAAAATTTTTTACAGTATACGCATTGAAAGTAATACACCAAGAAACGTTCATCTGATTTTGTTATTCGTTCGTTTCAGGTCCTTTTCGGACGATTCATACCTACTTTCTTTATTCGAAAAAAATTTCCTCACTGACAACTCTGACAACTTTGTCACTGTCTGGAGATAGAAAATTTTTTTGATGTATACTCAGTGTAAACTTGTGGTATATGATTCGAATTCACACCGAGTATATTGAGTGTATTTTTTATCTATACTTAGTGTTTATTCGAAAAATACCAAATATACCCACCGTATCCCCCCAGTATACATCACACCAAGTTTACACCGATCACACCAAGTTTACACCGAATTTACTCCGAGTATACACAGTGTATACGGATCCGCTAGGTTTATGTTTCTAAATTTCCTATAGTTTCTATTTTTAGTTGATAATGTGAGTGCGATATTTTTTTACTTTAATAGAAAACTATCTTGATTCAAGGAAAATAAAGTTGATCCAACAAATTTATTAGTTTTAAGAAAACTGATTGTCAGACTTCAAAAGTCTTTTGTCTTGAATCTCGTCATCTTAACTTAACAGACTGAAATCTTTAGTCAATAATTATTTTCACTTAATTCAAGCATATGTTCAAGAATATCTAATTGATACAATTGTATTATTTATCCAACAAAAATTCTAAAAAACTAATAATAATTTCGTTTTTTCGTTTCGAAGAACTTTATATTCGAGGATGGATAACTAGTTTCTTCATTCAAAATAGCATGAAATCTTTTTGTTCGAGAGATATTGCAATTCAAAATTTACAAAAAAATGCATCACCATTATTATTACTACTAAATTTTTGAGGACTCTGAATTCGAAAATGAATAAAAGTTCAATTTTTGAGCTCGAAGAATAGAAAGCTTTCCAATACGACAACGTTTTGAGTCTGAATACCCGCATGGAGAAATATATATGTCAAAAATATATGTCGCATATATAATATATATGCCGCATATATTTACGCAAAAAAAAAAATATGCCAACATATATTTTTCACATAGATGCTGACATATATGCTTACATATATATAGACATATATGTAAGCATACACTGAAAAAAAAATTCTAAGTTTGAGAATTTTTTTACTCAAATCAAGAAAGTTAAATTTTGAAAAATTTAACTTTCTCGATTCAAGTTAAGTTTTTTTCCGTGTATCTCTAGACACTTATATGCGCACATATATGTAAACATATATGCACGCATATATGTGAACATATATCTACGCATATATGTGAACATATATCTACGCATATATTTAGCGCAAAAAAAATATATGTGAAAATATATATTTGCATATATTTTTCGCATATATATTTTTCCATGCGGGTATAGCGGTAAGTTCCAAGAATGACCTCCTTTACTAAGAAAAACTATTTTAAATAGTTAAAAGCAATTTGAAACAATTTAAAAAGATTTGAGTTGACTTCTATATAGATATAGATATACACTTTGCATAGATTGAATCATTTTAAATTATTTTTCTTGACAAGGACTGCAGTGTCAGAGATATTTCAGATTTTTTTTATTGGATAAAAAGTAGCAGAAAACAGAGAATTTTTATAGCTTGAGCGGCACTTTAGAAACAAGTTAGTAATATCTTGATCCAATATTACCCAGAGTCTAAAGAACCGATTTTAACTATTACACAGAAAAAAAATTAATATGAATCAAAAGTAAATGACTTTGAAGAATTTTAATTTCTTGATTTGAGTAGAAAAATTCTTAAACGATGAAATTTTTTTTGGTTTAAGTAAATTTTACTTCATTCAAGAATTTTCCGTCTTGATTCAAGACAATTAAATTCTTCAAAATTATTTTCTTAATTCAAGAATTTTCCCTTGATTCAAGTTAATTTTTTTTTCATTGTGTATATACGGATGAAAAATTTTTCTTATATGCCACAGTAGAAAATTTTGTGTAAAACCAACATAATTTTTGTATTAAATACAATCGACACAAAATTTATGTTGAAATCCAACAACAAAGTAACAAGCCTTGTTGTTTTAACACAAAAAATTTTTAACACAGACCGTATTCTACACTAATACAATATTTTTTACTGTGGTATATGGCCATAGTCATGTATGTCCATTTATAATTTTTTGATCTAATTTAGTGTTTAAAAACATCCGGAAGAGGGCCCATGATCGCTAAATCGTCTCCTTACAAAATAATTCATTCTAAGCTGCTAAGAGAGTTTAGGCACTCGTGTGCCTGATGCAAGCAATCCAAATACCAAATGACACCTCAGATAGCCTTTCAACACAATTAAATGTATTGTCCTCAGATATTGTCAACAGGCGGTACATTTTTATGAAAAACATATTTACTCATTTTTAATAAGATGTAAGTAGATCTAAAAAATTTTTCCTGACATGTATTATGCATAAATACATACATTAGTACTTTATTCAACTATTATCATCCATAGCTAACATTCACATCTATATATTTTATATATATTATTGAATTATTATAAATAACAAATAATAAATCTAACGTAAACATGACGGCTGTTCCATTTCAAAACACAAAATTTAACTAAAAAATTTTTAGACCTGTTTTTTTTCGGTATTGTTAGATTTTTTTGTACCTCAAATTAACAATCTGATGTTTTTTTTCTTACTAATGTTTTTGTTAATACACCTTCTATGAGTAAATCGAATTTCTTTTCATTTAATTTTTTTTATATACAGTCGAATCGCGTTATGAGTCCGGCTTGTTTTCTTTGTTTTTTAACCCAGACTCGCGTTAATAAGAGAGAGACACAAGGAGGGCTCATAACGCGACTTGACTGTAAAGCAAATTTTAAAATATCTAAGAATGTCAAATTATTGTGTTTCGAAATGGGGCAGCTGTCTAAATTTATAAAATAAGGTCATTTAATTTAAACTAAAATAATCGCATCATCTTTTTCAGATTCCATCCTCACAATTCAACTTTTTAATATCATTTTTTAGAATTCTATAATTCTACCTTGACTTTTGATTCTTTTTTTGAATCTGGTTTTACTTGTTGCGTGTTAGACTTTTGGGAAGGTTTCTTATCAAACTTATTTTTTAGCTCGGGTAATATTTCATCGATATGAATTCTGGCTAGATAATCATTAAATGGACTTCCAAGCCACATATAATCATTCAAGAAAAAAGCAGAACTTATACTGGAAATCTCACTATTGCTAGTTGCCATCGCATTGAGAATTTTTCCATTAGCGTCAATTCTCAGGACAATGGCGTCCGTCGGAACTACCATTGGAGAGTTTTGGAATGATCCGATCCAATAATGAATTCGCTTGCAATAATCATTCGGATAAACTTTGTCGAATAATTTGAATGGAAGTTCCAATAAAGATAAAAACCGGACACACATTTTGCGGACATTCGGGTGAGGTAACAGAGATTGAACAAGTTGGGGGTTTTCTTCATCTGCGATAACAACTATACTTATTAGGAAATTTCCGTGGTTATCTGAATGAATGTTATCGGGAAATCCTGGTAAGCCCTCAACTAAGATTTCACTTTGTCCAGTTTTTGGTCCCTTCAGATGATACTTAACTACTCGCGACATTACCAGTTCATTAACAAGTACAAAACTTTCATCGTCGCTGAGTTTTACACCATTAGCGCATCCCAGATTATCTAATAGAACTTTGTTTTTCTTTGTTTTTGCATCGAAATATATTAACCTGAAATGCAAATACATTGAGTCTGTTTCTAACAAAAATCAACTTTTTTTTTTTTCAGTGAAGTAAAAAGACTTACCGTCCACTGGGATCACTTAATGTTGAGAATATTCCGTCATTGAGTTTATAATCAGAACTCATATCAGTCCAATAAAGATCACCATTTTCAGCAACGTCAACGCTATTAGGAGTCTTTGGTATCTTGCCTTCGATAGGCTGGGATGCGTCGATAATTTTTTCATAACTTCCTTTCTTCACGTCTACTTTATAAATACCATAAGATGTGTCGACGACGTACAGAGTTCCTTTTTTATCGAATTTCAAACCTAGTGGGTGGCTACACAAATCTTCTTCCAACTTGTTTTCTAAAATAAAAATTTTTTTATAATATTTTGAGATAAAGTGAATTGTTTTTAACTTCCCGCTGCGAAAATCAATGGTTTTCTCAAAGAAAAAATTTCGATTTTTTCCTAAGGGTACAAAAGTATGACTTTTCAAAAACATTCACAAATTTTTTGTTCTTTAAATGTCTAAGTAGCATAGGGTAAAAGCTCCAAATATTTACCAGTTTAGATAGAATGAAAACAAATACATTACTTTTAAATTTCGCGTTACTAATGCCAAAAAGGGCGTATCTCAAAATATACGCCCTTTTGGCTTTGTAGAGCCAAAAGTGTATATAGAAAAATTTTATTTCTCTCCAATCAATTAGGGACTGTATAAAAGTAAAAATCTGGTTAAAAAACGCAAAGCAACATTTTTTTCAACATACACCCTTTTGGTTTTAAGAAAAAAAATTTTAAAGTCGAAAGTAGCTTGTGAGGACCTTAAAACGTCGAGATCTAACGAAAAACTAATTTTTGGAAGTGAGACTGAAAACTAACATATCCCAATTTCTTAAAATTTTCAATTTTTCTTATTTTGTGAAAATTCACTGAAAAAAATTAAAATTAAATTTTTAGCTTCTCCTGACAAAAATTGAGAATTTCAAAAAAATGGCCTATAATAGTATTATCAGTTCAATTTTCAAAAATCATACTTTTACCAGATCTCGACGTTTGGAGATTCTTAGAAGCTACTTTGATGATTTTTTCACATATGCACTTTTGGCTTTAAAATTTTTTTTTCTTAAAGCCAAAAGGGCGTAGGTCGAAAAAAATTTTTTTTTGTGTTTTTCAACCAGATTTTTACTTTTATACATTCTCTGTTTGATTGGAGAAAAAAGAATTTTTTATACGCCCTTTCGGTGCTGCAAAGCCAAAAAGGCGTATATTTTGAGATACGCCCTTTTGGCATTACTAACGCGATTTGTTGGAAGAGTTGATGAGCTGAAACGGGTACTATGCTTTTTTTATAGTTTTAAGTTACAAACTATAATACTTTTGTTTATAAAATACATAATAATAAACATTAAATTTTAATAATTTACTTTATAGCCGACTGCTCCGAATATGCACTACTTACTAAATACTGACCGCCTGTGTTCCAAATACTAACCAGTAATATTATGCTTACTGAACTTTTTTTTTTTTTATTTATTTATTTAAAGTATTTATTTATTTATTTAAATAAGCAATTGCTTCGATCCTGGAGTAAACTCCTTGGGACCACATTTCTTTGATACAAATTTGAAACAATGTTATTAGCTATTCTAATTTAATTTTATTATTTTAACACATTCAATGACCAATTTTCATAACTTTTTGACATTTGCACACAAACTTATTTTGTTTTTCGATGTAACAACCTGCATATGTTTGTGAGCTTACGCAAATTATAATTTAAGGTATATAATTAAAAATTGATAATTACGTACTGAATATAAACTCAAAAAATACTTGATTTTATTAAATTAAGTTGTTATGCTGCTTGGTCAATATTTGGTTTCTTTACCCTAGTTCCTTATCTACCTTCAGAAATTATTTTATGTAAGATTTTATACTTACTACAAGTCTCTTTGAACTTGACAACTTCTTTCAATTCATCACCAATAATTTTATGAACAGCACCATTGGCTGTTGTGAAGTATAAAATACCATCATAAGAATCAAAAGATTCAGGTCCACGTACTTTTTCTTGATAAAGTTTTTCCGCTTTGTTTAGATTTTCATTCAGAAGTTCCTTTGGAATTTTTTTTGGCAACGTCAGACTAATGAAGAGATAACGAAAATTAAAGAATACTTTGAATAATTAAAAACATTGTACATTAAGATCTTAAAAATCTTTTATACTTATGGGCAGTGAAGTCGACGTTGGGTGGCAATCCAGGGATAAAAGTAATGATTGCTAAAAATGTGCAAACCCATACAAATGAGGTAGCAAGAGATTTTAAGTATCCCATGTTATCAACACCGTTTATGATTTAATCTGAAATGAAGGAAAAAACAATTTATAAATCCACTTATACTTTGTGAAAAATAATTTTTAAATTACTTGAAAAACCAACAATTTTGCACCATTAAAAATTCACAATCGAACTAAATTCGATGATTTAATAATGTCATTAAGCGACCGAATCAATTGATTTAATTTTTTATAAAAAAAATTGTTTTTGTTATTACAGGTGGATTTATAAGATCAATATTGATACGAATATTTTAAGAAATTTTCGATTTGAGGTATTGCAACAGCAAGTTAGTTAAACGAGCGTTAAAAAAAAATAATGTCATCAATAAATTTTGCATCACGCGTATTTTAATATCGAAAAAAATTTATCATGCAAGAATTGTATTGTGTTATTAATTAATTTTTTTCTATAAAATAACTCTTTTAAAAGTTATTAAAGGTTAAAGTACAATTCAAGAAAAATTTTCCATTTTTTTGCTTTTGAAACAAATTTTTAAACAAAACGAATCAAACAATTTGATATTCTGTATCAAATATAATTTTTGTTTCTGAAATATTCTTCTAAATTTTTAGATTTACAAAAGAATTAGAAAAAAAATTATCAATTCGAATCAAAGATAAAAGTTATTTCTTTATAATTAATGGAATTATAATTTTTATAAACAAATGAATAAATGTTTTAAACAGTTAAAGTTCTCAATTTTATTGATTCTATTTATTTCCAAAATTGATTCAGATATTCGTTAATTCTTTCATAATTAATTTTCATCTTTAAACACATTTTTTTACTATTAAAAATCACATAATTAATAAATGATACCCTGGTTAGAAAGAAGAATTCAAAACAACCGACAATGTTAATTCTCCAAAAGAGAAGAAATTTAAAAATATTGAAAATATTCAGAAGCATTGAAAATAATTCAAATTTCGTTACTTCCAACACTTTTTAATTCATTATTTTTTTAAGGCAGTATTGAGCAGTTTTTTTGCCTCCGTCAGAGTCAATTTTATTAGAATCAGTTGAGAACTGTCAGTGCAATTTATCTAACATACCGCGTTATATCACACATACATATATAAATACAAAAACGTATTATGAAAAAATGTTCTTCAAATTGCGATAAAGAAATTACGATAAACTTTTTTTCACATTTATAACAATTTTTAATCACTAAGTTTTGTTAAAGTTAATTTGTTGTTTTATTTTCTCATCATCAAAAACTTTAATTTTAGATATTTAAGTAAAAACGCTTATTATTTACACTTTTAGAGAAATTTCCAGGTACTTTTAGGTAGATTTCGTAGAAATCTATCTATTGCATTGGACCTTGTGTCGGAATTCACACGGAATTTTGTCATTTTATCTCTTATATAGTCGAGTAAAGCTCAAAATTAGCATTGGTTCAAAAGTTTATATATATATACGTCATTCTATCAAGAATTTCAATCAGTGAAATCTACCTTCCATTTCGGGTGTGGCCGAATGGCGTTTTTTTTTAACATGCTCAAAATTCTTGTTCAATTTTTTTAACATTGTATAATTAGTCTTTTAACGTGAAAATTCATAAAATTTTATGATATTTTCTCAAATTTAATCATTTATTTCAACTGATGGACTCAATCACCCGGATACACCAATTATCTAACTAGTAATAATCTACCAATTATTTACACTAAAGTCCATAATAACCATAAGTCATTAATGTACTCAACTGACTTGAACAAGAAAATAAATATTTTCAAAATAAATCTATAAAATAATAATAAAAGGTTGCGGCGCTGTTTAAATTTATACCTGTCAGTATGACCCAGCTTAAATTTTTAGGACCAATTATTAACATTCATTATTTAAAAATTGATAACCATTAAATAGAATTTATATATCTAATGTTTTTTATTTTTCAATACTTCATTTATTTATGAAAAAAAAAAAAAAAAAAAAAAAAAGAACTAATATTTTTCACAAATATTAAGTCTTTAAATTCTGAAGATTTTATTCTAAAGTATACAATTGTTATTGATAATGTAATTGAATAAATTCTGAAATAAAATAAGATGTCAATAATTAGTGCTTTTACCTTAAAATTATTCTAGGTCAGAAGAATATATTATGTACTCATAACTAGAATTATTAGATCGATTCCCAGTTTTTGACAGATTGTTTTTTATCATTCGTTGGCCTTTAAACTGTGAAGACAATTACTTGGATATTTTATTATCATTTTAAAAGTAACAAAAACGATATGGTTTATCGTTAATGACCAATTTTAAGTTACAACTGTATTTTTACTAACAAAAAACCGTTTACTCGTATAAGAATGAGCTCGCATAATCTTTAAACAGTAATAAATATATAATAATGATAAACTTACCCGCTCAATAATTTGAAAGTCTTTAGATTCTTAGCTTCACAATAATTAAAAATGAAGCAGTTTAGATTATTTGATTTACGACTGTTTATTATAAAAATTATTGTGGAACTACTTATTTAAAATAATATTTGCAATGATGAAAATCGATGGAGAGTCTTATGAAAGACATGAAATACCGAGTAACAGACAACAGCGTATGTATGTAATACTCGTCTTAACTAACGGTTATTTCTGGTTCCATGGCAACCGGCGATCTCAATGAGACTTCTAGATAAAGCAACTATCACAACAAGACAAGTAATAAACGATTATTTTTATCTTTTTATTGATTTAAATATCATTATTTAAAAATTACAATAATAAAATTTTTTGTTACATAAATTATTTTTTTAAATAATAAATATAAGTTTGAGAGTAACAAAAATTTAAAAATTTGCAAGAGAATAATTAACATACTTGGTAATTAAATTTTTATAGCTCAGAAACGGAACCTCAGAAAATATCTCGGTACTCGGTTGAAAATAAACAAAATAAATTTAATCACATGATTACGGAAGAAAATTTAAAGGTGTAGCTCATGGAAACTAATAGAAATTTTGGTTATTCTTTCAGGAAATTAAAAAAAATACATTTAGCTAATTCAGTTGTCAAACAGGAGAAAATTATCTGTAGATCTTGGTCCTTTAAAATGCGCAGAAATAAGAATAATGCATGTATACATCGTGGTATTTGAAGTTTCTTGGCCGAGTCCCGGGCTGGTGGTAAAGAAACTTTTACTGTCTAATAAAATTGAGTCTCGAAAATTGAGTTCTATACCTCTTCTTGAGGTATAGAATAGAGTGGCTTTTTTTTTTTTTTTTTTAAGAAACTGCTTTCAAAGTAGAAAAATAAAATTCAATTAATTGATTTTTAATTCAAATAAAATAGTTTGTCATGGTTTAATGGTATTCTACTAATACAAATACTAGATTTCGAACTCAAATTAAGAGATCAAAGATGTATAAAAGTTAAATAGATGAGCTCAGGGAGTTCAAAATTTTGTAGTAAGATATTTTTTAGCCATGAAAATAGCGGAGTTCCTGGAAAGGCCTGCAAATTTGGACAACCATTTTTTAGGTTTTTTTTCCGTAAAAACTGCTTCAAATATATTGTACACGGAAAAAAATACAATGGTGCTGCAACAAGATTTTTCTATGGGAGCTCAGAATTAAAATTTTTTTGAAGTTCGAATATTTTTTCAAAATTCGAATTTATCTTCAAAATTTGATTTTATTACAAATTTAATTATTTTTTCAAACTTGAATACCTTTTTAATCCTGCTGAAAAAAATGTTTGTATGAAACTTGTTTTAATTAATTAAAAATTATTTATATTTACTCACTCCGGTACTCGGAGTAATAGAAATCAAAATTTTTACTCCGAATTCACTCCCGATTTTGTCCAATCTAAAATTGCTAAAAATAAATCTTATTTAAAATTTTTAATTTTATCCTGTATTTCCTACAGGAAAAATTCAGTTACTGCAACAGGATTTTGTTATCCTGCTCGAACAGGAAAAGTCCTGTTACAGCGCTCATTTTTTTCCATTTAGTATGCTTAATAATACCTACTTGAAACAAATTTTAGATTTGTAGAAGCTTGTAATAAATATGGTCTAGAATAATAAATATTTTTATCACGAAATTACCAAACGTTGATAAATTTCTTTTACTCTAAAAAAGTTATATTTTTAAGGTGAGATGTGTTATAATATGTATTAGTATAAAAATAAAAGTTACTATTTCGAAAAATTGCGAAAAGTACTAATGACTGGAGGATTTCTTTTTGGAATTTTTTCCGAAACTACTTCTTCCAATTACCTTTTTCTTGAGTTCAAAGCATTTTCTTAATTAAGCAGTGTAAATTTTCAAACCATTAGTTGAACTTTTATTTTTTGAGTCTTCAAAGTCTTATAATAAAGAATCATCAATTAATATTAATTAAGATGAAAAAAAAATTTTTTCGCTTAATTTTTTTTTTTTTTTTTTTTTCAATTTGGAATATAATATTAAAGTTACTCAAGAAGAAAGTTTGGAAAATGGTTGACCCTAGACGCTATTTAGGAATGAACAAATATTCATCATTATTATTTGTCGAAGAGACAAAAATTTTCTTACCAATAAAAACTTTTAATTTTTTATGTAAGTGATTTATAAGAACTTACGAGTAAATTAAATCATCATACATTATCACACAAAGGAGAAAGGAAAGGTGAAAATTGCAACAAATATAATCTACATAAAAAATAATAATTTCATTTGATATTTACTAGTAAATAAAACGTTTTATTAATAATTACTTAATTATTATTACTTTAAAATTAAGTCATATTAATTTCAAAGTGAAGTTTTTTTATTTTTTATTAAACTTTTTTTTTTTTCATAATTTTTTTTTTCTTTTTATTAATCGAAGTACGTCTAGAGGCACTATCGAAGCTTATATTACTAGCAGCGATTTTTTGCCTAGATTACAGTTTTTAAATTCATTTCATTCAATAATTTTTTCAAACATCAATTTTTTACAATAAATTAATTAATAATTATTAATGTAAGCAGTGAATTTCATCGATATCAATAAATTTTTT